TCAAATCAGAAAGGTAGATGAATAGACAGGCAGACAGAATATATAAAGAACTCTCAACACTCAGCAGTAAAAAATCTAATTGAAATGGGCAAAGACATAAAAAGACATTTCACTGAAGAGTATATACAGATGGCAAATAAACACATTAAAATATGTTCAACATTGGTAGCCATTTTTTGGAAATTAAAATTAAATCCATGATGAAATATCACTACATATCTAGCAGAATGCCTAAAATTAAAATAGTGACAAAACCAAATGCTGGAGAAGATAGAGAGAAATGGGCTAATTCATACATTCTTGGTGAGAATGTGAAATTGTACAATCATTCTAGAAAATAGTTTGGCACTTTCTTTAAAAGCAACAACAAAATTCTCCTATCATATGACCCGGCGCTTATACCCCTGAGCATTTACTTCAGATAAATGAAAATTTGTATTTACACAAAAACCTGTACACAAATGTTTATAACAGCTTTATTTGTAATAGCCCCAAATTGTAAACAACCCAAATGCCCTTCCATGGGTGAATGGTTAAACAAACTGGGGTAATCCATACCATGAAATACTACCAGCAATAAAAAGAAACAAACTAATAATATACACAACAATCTAGATGAATCTCCAGAGATATATTCTGAATGGAAAAATGCCAACCTTGAAAAGTTACATGTTAGGTGATTACATTTATATAACATTTAAAAAGTGACCAAATTATAGAAATGGAGAACAGATTAGTGGTTACAAAAGAAGAGGGTGACTGGCTAAGGTGAAGGTGGGAGAGAAGTGGGTGTGAATATAACAGAGCAATGTTAGGGCCCAGCCGGGTGGAATATCGATTAAGTTCCCGAGCTCCGCTTCTGTGGCCTGGGGTTCACAGGTTCAGATCCCGGGCGCACATGGATGCGCCACTTGTCAAGCCATGCTGTGGTGGCGTCCCATATAAAGTAGAGGAAGATGGGCACGGATGTTAGCCCAGGGCCAGTCTTCCTCAGCAAAAAGAGGAGGATTGGCATGAATGTTAGCTCAGGGCTAATCTTCCTCTCACACACACACAAAAGCACAACATGAGGGATTCTTGCAGTGATGGAAATCTTCTGTATCTTGCCTGTATCAATGCCAATATTCTGGTTCTCTTATTGTACTATAGTTTTGCAACATCTTACCATTAGGAGAAACTGGGTTACAGGAAACATGGGATCTCTCTGTATTATTACTTACAACTACACATGAATCTTCTTTTATCTAAAAATAAAAAGTTTAATTAAAAATAAATATACTACAAACCCAAATGATATCACTAAAATAACATATAAAAAAGTTATGTAGCTCATAAGCCAAAAAATAAAAAGAGGTAAAATAAAATCATAAAAAAATTTGGTTTTTCAAAATATAGCAGGAAGAGAGGAAAAATGAGAAGAGAACAGATTGGACAAATAGCAACATGAGTGATTTCAACTAACTATATCAATAATCCCATTAAATGCAAATGGTTTAAATACCCAATTAAAGGCAAAGATTGTCAGATTGAATAAAAAATGCAAGACCTAATTATGTGGTGCCTACAAGACGCAGGCTTCAAATATAAAAACAAATAGATTAAAAGTGAAAAAATATACCATTAGAGATAGATAAATCAATGGAAGACTAGAGAACTAGAAATAGACCCGCAAGTATATAGACAGCTGATTTTTAACAAATATTAAAATGTAATTTAGTGGAGAAAAGACAGTGTTTTCAACAAATAGTGCTGGAAATATTGGATATCTACTGTATATGCAAAAGATAAATAGATCCTTACATAGTACCTCTGATGGTGAATTTTGTGTGTTAACTTGACTGGGTGTTGGGGTGCCCAGACATTTGGTTAACCATTATTTCTGGGTGTGTCTGTGAGGGTGTTTCTGGATGAGACTGCTTTTGAATTGGTGGACTGAGTGAAGCAAAGTGAAAGGGCATAATCCAATTCATTGAAGGCCTGAATAGAACACCAAGGCAGAAGGGAGAATCCACTCTCTCTGCCTGACTGCTAAGCTGGGACATTGGTCTTCTCTTGCCCTTGGACTGGGACTTATGCCATCTGTGCTCCTGGTTTTCAGACCTTTGGACTTGGACTAGAACTATACTATGGACTTTCCTGGGTCTCAAGTTTGCACACGGAAGTAGTGGGACTTAGTCTCCATAATAATTGTGTGAGCCAATGAGCCAATTCCTTATAACAAATCACACACATATATATATACACATAAGATCTCCTATTTATTCTGTTTCTCAAAATGGATCATGCACCTAAATGTAAAATCAAAAACTATAAAACTTCTAAAAGAAAACATCAGAGAAAACCTTTGTTACCTTGGATTAGACAAAGATTTCTTAGATAGGATGCCAAAAGCACAATTCATAAAAGAACAAATTGATAAATTAGACTGCAGCCAAATTAAAAACTTCTACTTTTCAAAACACAGCTTAAAATAATAAAAAGACAAGGCTAAGACTGGGAGAAAATATTTACAGAATACGTAAAGAATTCTCAATACTGAACAGTAAGAAAATGATCAATCCAATATCAAATGGGCAGAAGATTTAGTGACACTTTCCCAAACAAGATATATGGATAGCAGATAAGCACACTAAAAGATGTTCAGCATCTTTAATCATTTGGTAAATGCAAATCAAAACCACAGTGAGATACTACTACATACATATTAGGAAGACTAAAATTAAACAGACTGACCATACCAAGTATTGGCAAAGATGTGGGGGAAGTTCAGTCCCAAAGTTGAGTTCATTGCTGGTGGGAATGCGAAAATGGTACAACTACTTTGAAACACAATTTGAGTTTCTTTAAGTTAGCCCTATACCTACCATATTATCCACTTTAGGTATTCACCCAGGAGAAATGAAAGTTTATGTCCATACAAAGACTTGTACACGGATGTTCACAGTAGCTTAATTTTTAATAGCAAAAAATGGGAAACAATCTAAATGTCTAACAATAGGTGAATGATTTAAAAGATGTGGTAAATCCACACAATGGAATATATTCAATAACAAAAATTAATAAATTTGATATAGTAACATAGATGAATCTCAAAATAATTATGTGGAGTGAAAGAAACTACATAAAAAGAGAGTACACACTGTTCTATTTATATAAAATTCTGCGAGATGCATACTAATGTTTACTGAGTAGTAGAAAGAAGACCAATGGTTGTGTGATGGGGGTGGGGCAGGAAGAAAGGATTATATAAGGTCATGAGGAATCTTTTGGAGGTAACGGATACATTCATTGTCATGATTGTGTATATGGTTCCTGATTGTGTATATATGTCAAAACATCAAAATGTACACTTTATGCATGAGCAGCATATTATATGTCATGTGTACCTCAATGAAACTGCTAAACACACACACACACACACACACACACACACACACACACATACAAACAGCTTCTCTTAAACTATGTTGGAAGAGGTTATTCAATTAAGCAGTTAATGAAGTGAAAAGATTTGTTGATAGGTCTAAGTCTGCCTTGAGGAAAAAATTTACACAGTTTAACATAGGGGCCTCCTTAAAGTTCAGGATATAGGAGAAAGAGTACGTGGATTGGGAGATTTTGTTTCACTGTTTTATTTATTTATTTTTTTTGGGTGAGGAAGATTAGCCCTGATCTAACATCTGTCACCAATCCTCCTCTTTTTGGCGAGGAAGATTGGCCTTCGTGCCCATAACATCCATGCCCATTTCCTCTACATTATGTGGGACGCTGCCACAGCACTTAAACGCTATGCCACCAGGCCAGCCCTGATTCGCTGTTTTAAAACCAGTCATCATCACAGATGCAGGCCATTTACTTTCTCAAGTGTACGGTAGAGAAGGTTGCTTCCAGAGACACGACGCCTCACTTTCATGACAATAAGATATTCAATGCCGTCCCAACCCACCTCACAAATGCTCTGCCGTAACATATTACATCGCATAATAAGTAAAGTTGGTAGCTAATGGGAAGATCAAGAGGATTTTGATGTTTTTATCTTCTTGGAAACTCTTAATATTTCATGAAAACCACATATAATTGTGTTTCAGGTGCCTCAAATCATTTTTTAGATACCCAGAAGAACATTTGAAGTCTTTATAGGCCCTTCTTCTTCAACATCTAGTATCCCTTCCCTAATATTATGTTATTCAGTATAAAGAAAAATATACTGAATAAATGTTATTTGGTATAAAGGGGAACAGAGACGGTGAACCCTTAGGTGGCAATTTTAAAACACAGCCCCCAAATTCTTTGGCATTTCTCCCATCAAAAAAAAATATATAAAGATAAGACCCAAGACCATTGTTACTACTTTAAGCTCTACACTTCCCTATAAATAACCACTAAAGTTTGTTTATATTCTATCAAAACTTTTTCCTTATATGTGCCAATATGACCAAACATCAGGATAAGCTTAGTCAGACTATAGCGGAGGCCTGTGAAAAACGTGTATTTCATTTCTATTTCTTTCTCCTCTTCTTACATTTCATATATTCTTCTTTTTCTCTCTCTGCCTCTTTTAATATTTTTTGTTTTATGACAAGTATCGTTTGATCTATTTCTTCACGAAGCTCTCCTGTGGAATTGAAGCCAAAATTTTTGGTGTGTTAGTAAAGCAAATGGTTGGCTTGGAAAAGGTGTGGTTTGCTCATTACCTTCATTGGAAGGGTAACTTCTATACCCCTCCTCCCTAGAGTTTTGATATAAACAATTCATATTTGTTCAGTCTTATGAAAAATGCAATGTTGCTATGGAAACATGGTGACTGGGGCTCTGCAATACAGAAGAAGTTGGGATGGGACGGGTCATGGTGATTGAGTAGGCAGCCAAACTTGTCTGCCACGGATCTCCTTCAGACAAACTCCTCAGAAATAGCTGTACTTAGGAAGATTCATGTTAAAATGGGAAATTTGGACACAGGCTTCTGTTTTATTTCCCTTCGATTTTGGTGTGTTTTTCAGCTGCTGAAGGAATGGTATGCAACCATCTGTGCTCAAAGGATGGCTGCTGGGGACCTGGGCCAGACCAGTGCCTGTCTTGCCGTCGCTTCAGCAGGGGAAGGACCTGCATAGAGTCCTGTAACCTCTATGATGGGTAAGCATCTCACATGTCGCCTTTACCTCATGTGCTTTGAAGTCCTGTTCAGATTTAAAAATGATAAGAAAATGGTAAAATTTCAGAATATGTGTGCTGGCCAACATTTTTAAGGAGAACTCTTATTGCAAAAAGGGGGCAACATGTACAATTACGTTAAGGGGAAATAATTTCATTTGAAATAACAAGTCCAAATATATATTGATTATTATGCACATTTTTCAAAAAGTGTATCAAAATGGACAATTTTTAATAAATTATGGCAATGTATACCTAAGCAAAATTGAAAAACATATTCCTATTTTGCTTATGCAGGAGATTGCTATAAGTAATCTTTCCTTTGATATTTCCCAATAATCTTTTTCTTGCTCATACTTTCCTATCATTTTTCATTCTCGGTTACTGAGTAATTTTTTATTTTTTTCCATTCAGGTTGTATGTCTGTTTGATTGTGTATTAGGAACAACACATTTCTGTGTCTCTGACAACAGCTTAGTCCTATAGAAAAACTACCTTTGTAGTTTCTAGTTGAAGAGCTTTTTGAAAGTGTTTTGCCACTTTTTAAAGATAACCCAAGCAATATTTTAAATCAAGTATTTTAAATTCCTCCTGGCACTATAATAGTCACATTGCCAACAATAAAACCTAGTGTATACCCTGTAGCGTGGCATTTCATATACTCATAAAATCACTTTATCATAACAAACCATTTCATGCACCACAGCTGTCCTTCATTAGTGTGATGAGGCATTTTTTAGTACTGTCCCTAAGTCAAATTTTCTTATATTGCTCACTGAAAGGATTTTCAACAGTTTTGTAAAAGTGTAGTTTTGAAGTTCTTTATTTCATTTTTCTTCTGCCTCATGCATTGTCCCATTCTAACAACTATTTTCATGACCCCAGATAACATCATACTTTCGCATTTTACATCAGAAGGATAAAAATCTGAGGATCATAATGATATTGATATGTCTCTTTTTAAAAAGATGACGAAACCCAATTCCTTGCATGAAGTTTGAGGAAAAAAGATTAAAATTAGAAATTTAAATCTAAAAACAATTTTAAATAAGAATTTAATAATTTTTCAGGAAAATTTCAGCTCGTAATTTTTTAAGGTAAAATCAGCTCATAAATTTGATAATGAATAGCAAATTATATGCTGCTTGTCTCATTGAATTGTATTCATGCTTCTTTACCTTATTGTGAAAGAATGGTATTTTCTGTACATAAAATACTTCAGATCAAAATATGCTTGTTAGTGTTTGTGGCAATTGATACCGTTAAAATGAAACTAATAGACTATAATTCCATTAAGCGAATGTTACATTACAAGTTTATTGAATATATATGTACAGTTCTAAAGGAGAAATGGATTCTAGGAACCACGTTGTCTAATAGCAGCATCTTGTAAATAGTGAGAACTGGTAAAGTTAAGTGTTTACCAAAATCATAATAACACTCCAGAGGAACCAAGCCAACAGTAGGACCCAGGGCATTTCATTTTCTTCCTGTTTCCTTTCCAGATGCCATTGTTTTCTTCAATATTTCAGTTTAAACTTGTCAGAAATATGAAATTGATAAACATGTAGATGTATACACCATCCTCTGTATCAATTCTGCCAAACAACGAAAGCTAAGGAAAAATACCGGTTTCCTAAATAAACAACACTGATTACCACACTGTTTTTGCAAGTTTAACATTTTCCATGTCATTAAATCAAATGTATTAAAGAAATGTAAAGTTTTTAATGCATTTGTAATAGTAATGGGGCCATAGGAAGTCGTACACCCAGGGTTGGTGTGAAAGATAATAGGTGAAAGTAGTCTGATGTAATTCTTGCCTGCTCAATGATACGTTCCCCACCTCCAATCTTGTAGTATTGGCTAATTGCTTCCAACGTTGCCTGTTCATTAAGACGGTCTTCGAGGAGGGATGAATTCAAATCCTAGCTTCATATGTCCTAGTTGAAACGTCCAACCTTGGACAAACAACCTAATCATTCTACACCCTGTTTTCTTATATGGAAATTGGGAATGATAATGGTGTCAACTTCATAAGATAGCTGTGATTATCAAATGAGAAAATGCATAATAAAGTCTTATTAGAGTTCCTACTGCTAAAATTATCATTATTTCCTTTTTGTGTTTATTAATCTGAGCTGATTAAGTGGTTAAATAGAAGAGTCACCTTAAAACCCGCCAAAAATAAATAAGAATATGGCATTTAAAAGAATCAGGGAGCCTATTTATATATAAAAAAGTATGATTATCATAAGAGAAGAAATCCTAAAAAGGGGATTTTTTGAAGGGGAAAAAAGAAAGTCCATCAATTCCTGTCTGTTAGCACTCAAATTTAGGTCATACAAGTCACTATATTTCAGCAACTCAGCTACAGTGCACAAGCAGTCAAAATGAAAGAGAAAGCTAATTTCAATGGAATCTTAATTTTTTAAAAAATCTGGCAACATGGTTAAACTGTTCTGAAATTTTAAGAACAACACAGAAACATCAAAAAGAGTGCCAGTCTAAGCTCTTTGCAAGCATTTTTTACATTTAATAATCACCACCTCTCAATGAAACACACTTTTTCCCTTTTATAAATGATATTTAGGAAACTGAAGCTTAGAGAAGTTGAGGGAGTTGAGGCCTAGAAATATTGGTGTCGATGCTGAGATTTAAATTTTGGAAGGATTTGACCCCAAAGCATTTGCTCTTGGTCACAGGATCAGCTAAGTTAGCACACACAAGAAAGCCAGGAGAAATGTATAGCAGCAGAAATAGGTGACAAATGCTCGGTATGCAAAGCTCGTGCTCAACAGACTGTGATTCGTTAGATCAGATTCAAGCGAAAGGGGATCTCTGACAAAGTCATAGTAGAATCACTAGGGGATGGGGAAGGAAAAGAGCAATGATGGAGACAGTGACAGAAAAGAGCAGAAGTATGGAAACTGCAAGGAGGATCTGTTCTGACAGCAGAAAGGAGAGGCAGAAGCCATACAAACGGAAGTGTATGGAAGAAAAGGCAGCTGGGTTGTCTCCATGACTATTTATCACATATTCATTTTACTCCTTAACTCTGTGTGTGAGGAAGGGGGTCGTGGAGAAGAGAGAGAAGAGCATGACCTATGTTTTAGCACCATAGAAATTATGACCTTCATTTGGTACCATAACCCCTTAGTCAACCAAGGAACTGTTTTGAGAACAAATGATGTGCTGATGATTGCAGGCTTTGCTGTAACTGTCATATTTCATTATACAGATAATGCTTTTGATTCTCTTCACAATTTAGCTACTGCTCCCCCCTGCCAATATCATTTTGACCTTTATATTCTGAAGAGTTCTTCTGTTGAGTACTTTATATCACTCATGTTGATGAAACATGCAAAAGAAGATCTGTTTTTGCATAATTGAGATTTTAAACTCAAGAAAATTCATAGAAAGTTTAATCCACAGCAAACCAACATCCAGTTAAAAAAGCAAAATCCTTGTAACTAAATACATGTATCCATACATAATTCAACCATCGATTTATGTTATTCATTTTGAAAAAACAAACAATTATTTTACCTTGGAGTAGATGTGGTCTTAATCAACCAAGAGAAAATAGAGCCTACTCTTCGGACTTCTATCATTTATTAAGGCTTTACAGTAACCAAATGAGATAGTTCACCATGAAAAAAGTGAATACTTCACTCTAAGGAAAACTACATTTGAATTTATCACCTAATTAATCCATAATTGCCATATTTGCAATGCTGTTAGTGTGGAATGGTAGCTAATGATACAAAGGCACAAAATAATAAAGTAGCTATAAATATTTAGTCAAATTTTGTTAATGACTCATAACTGACATTCCAAATTGTTTTTACCCGGTACCTCATCCTCTTGTACGTAAGTGGGAAAGGGGTGGTTTAAATATATTGTACATGACTGATACCAGTTATTGAAATGAAAATTTTAGAGTAGATATTGATTGGAAAACTTATATATTGATAACATTTAATATTCAAAGAGCCACAAAATATAAGGTTGTGGGAAGGGATGACCATCATCCCAGGAGATTTTAATTAAAAAGTTTTAGAAGGTTGCCATTAAACTATTTTTTATTTTATAACACACAGAATTACTTCAAAAAGAATTTAAACTGAAAAAGATGTGATATTAGATCAATAATCTAAGAAAATAAAATCTACCAGAAAAAGATATTTTCTCTAATTCTCCAAGGCAAGTATTTTAAAAGAAGAAAAGAAATCAAAGCAGTTTTTGAAGTTTCACCAAAAATAAATTGAAGAGTCTTGGGATTTGAAGGACAAAGATGGGGAACATTCGTGTAACTTGGCAACGAGAAAAATACAATAGTTCTTTCAGAGTTTAAAAAGTAAAGCTTCAGCCAAGAGTACAATTTTATATAGACACAAACAGGTACAGCCTTACTTTAAAAGGTAAAAATGGTTCTGCTGTGTCATCAGAAGAGTTATACTTTCTTTTCTTTTTGAGACTGCTAGAATATCTCTCACAAGAGAGAGGTTTCCTGAATGAATCTATCGTTGAACCCAGTGGAGGGCAAGGAGAGCCATCTGGCTGCCGTTTATCTTTTCTCCTAATGGAGAACTTATTCCTTAATGTACAGGGAAATGATTCTGATGCTCCTGGCACATAGAGAAACAAACCCGAGAATTTACTCTGCCAATAGGACTTTTAGCAGATGTTACTTCATTCGTTAAGTTGACAGCTTGTTTGCTTACATTGCCTCACACAGCTGATGTTTTCACAGTGAATTTCGGGAGTTTGAGAATGGCTCCATCTGTGTGGAGTGTGACCCCCAGTGCGAGAAGATGGAAGATGGCATGCTCACGTGCCATGGACCGGTAAGCCTGAAGACATCTGTGGCTGTGTTAGCTTGTTTAGTTTCACGGATGAATGTTTGTTCTATCATTGTTTTATTGTTTATCCATCCATTCAATAAGTATTTATAGCATGCTATGGGGAATCCTGTTTGATATTCTGCCCCCAAGAGGCTTACAGTTTAGTAGTGGAGATAAAAGCTTTAAAAATTAAATTTCTTAAATATTTGTGTCCCAGATAATGTATTTAAAAAGAAGATATGTAGTTTTCCTTGAAGGTTCTGCAGTGTTGAAAAGAAAAGAGAGATACACAAGTAATAAATTGAGGCAAAATAATTGATAAAATATAAATATGTATAAATCATTATGGGAACACAAGTGAGGGAGAAACTAAGTTTGTCTTTGGGATGGAAATTGGGGCATCATGGAAGGCCGTAGGGAAGTGATGTTTGTGCTATTCTTTGAAGAAGAATCGGGAAAGAGGAAACATACAAAGATATGCAAATATGAGAGTTCATTTTATGTTTGAGGTAAACACGTTCATATATGGGTTTAGTCATTTAACTATCATGGCATTGTGAAGGACAGTGGAGAGAAGGAGGAAGGCAGGTACTCATAAACTAAAATCTAAGGCACTGTGATCAATACTATGACAGAGAGAAGAACTGAGCTATGAGAATCAAAGGAGGAGCCATGGGATAATTTGACATTTATGTACTTTGACGTTAGCCTCACACAGAAAATTATAATTGTTTTTTAGACCTCCCTTTGGTTCCCAGATTCAGGATTTTTCTTGATAATGAGGTCAGTATGAGTTCGTCATTCCAAAGTGTCGTATTCATCCTTCTTTAGACAAATTTCCAGTTTGTGTATGGAGTCATCTCTCAGTAGATAATTTGGGGACTAACATTTCGGTGTAGCCAAGAGCTCAGCATTGCTCCATAAAAATTTATATGAATTTAATCAGTATTAGTTTTTCTACCAGAGTGTTTATTCAGCACTTAATTAGCTCAGGAAAAAAATAACATTGAGCTCTCCAAACTTCCATTAAGTCCCAATGAGCCATTCTGGAACTTCATCTAAAGAAGGATGTGGAAAACTTGGATAGTTAGAGACAACCACAAGGATGATTAAGCTTGGAAAATCAGACTTCTGAGAAATAGAAGTGGTATGATTTTGGCCTGAAGAACCTAAGTCTAAAAGACAATTTAATATGTAATGATCTCCAAGTATACAAAGGTCAGATGCAGCTATTTTCCCTTCCTTTCTATGACTAGGGATAGTCATAGAAAATACAATCAATCCACAGCATGAGAAATGAGGACTCTGTAAAGAATGTCCTGAAACGCGGGGAAGTAAAATTTTGTAATGGGTTGTTAAAGCAAGTTGAGCTATTTATATGACTTTTCTTTAAAAACTAACATATTTAGGTACCATAAGTCAAAGAATGAAAAAAAAAACCTCTTCCAGAGAGACTGAGAATTTGAAAATATGCGATTCCAATTACCAAGAATTTGGCGATCTCCTCTTGACAAGGCTGACTGCAAGAGCAGACCTGTGATTTTTCTATTTCTCATGCTGCCTCCTATGGTAGAAAATTATGCTAGTAAATAAATAGGTTATTAATTTCTTTCAATTTGTATTTTGCACTTTATTTGTTCATTTTTTCCTCAAAAGAATTGAAAGAGTTTTTAAAAATACACGTAAAGAACTCCTAAAAGTTAATGTTCTTGCAATTTTCAAAATTATTTGATGGTCAAGAAGGAGTGAAAAATAAGTTTTTAATGAACACATTTTGATTCTGTAATGACAGCATTCTTGGGCCATATAGCTAAAATCACTACCCAGGGCTAAAAATTCTGAATTAATATGTCTAGAGATTAGAGAGGGCAATTAGTCAAAAACAAAGAAAGTTCGGTAAAGCTGAACCAGGCAGCTGTGGAAGATCAGAGCATGGAATCAAGAAAAACTACTTGGGCACTTGATCACTTGATCAGTAAGCCTTGAAATGCTAAGCTTTTAGGTTACGGTGTCTGAAAAACTGGCACAACAGAGCTCAATCAATAGCCCAAACTTTGCTGTTCCTAGGGGGTTGCTTGCTTTCAGCCTTTACAATTTATGTTAGATTTTAGCCTGTTTCTGGGTCCGCGTGTTGATTATCACAACTGGAGACAAAGGTGGTTTTGCGTGCCATGTAACAGGCATATATCACTTAGTATATCCAAAAGGTTCTGGAAACTTCTTTACAAGACTGACATTGTGATGAGATAGAGGAAGAAGTCATAAAGCTGGTTGGAATTCTCATACTTGGTCTTATGATTTATTCTGTTGAAACCTCATTTTCCTGACCTAACAACATTTTCCTAATGATAATAGTTGATAAATATTTATATTTACCAAACACTGTTACATCTGAAGCATACAATCACTTTCTCCATTTAAAATATCAAGGAATTGAGTCCATTATAGTGATTAGAAAGTTACTCCGAAAGTCCACAAGTCAGTAAGATGTGGAGCTGGGACTCAACTATAGATGTTCTGACCCCAGGGCTCGCCCCGTCGCTTAGCGGTTAAGTGTGCACACTCCACTACTGGTGGCCCCTGCTCTGATCCTGGGCGCGCACTGACACACCACTTCTCCAGCCATGCTGAGGCCGTGTCCCACATACAGCAACTAGAAGGATGTGCAACTATGACATACAACTATCCACTGGGGCTTTGGGGAAAAAAAAAGGAGGAGGATTGGCAATAGATGTTAGCTCAGAGCCGGTCTTCCTCAGCAAAAAAAAAAAAAAAAGTTCTGACTCCAAATTTCACACTCTTTTCATTTTGCTTTTTCTTTTTTCCCCAGACAACAATGTCTGTAATGTGTTAAGGACAAAACGCTTTCTGGGAATATGACAGTGATGTGTAAAATGGGGTGGTATTATCCTATTCAAATGTGGCAGAAATCTGGGATAATCTTGAGAGGGACGGATGTGAAATAAAGCAAGCCCCTCCTTCTATATCCTTGTCTGTCTGCGCTTGGTCTTCTTTACTTTATTTTATTTTATTTTGTTTACCACTTTATCCTTTCTGCCTCTCTTTCACTAACTCTGGTCGGTCCTATTGAGAAAGATAAGGGAGGTAAGGTGACAGCAAAGAAAAGGAAGAGAAACCAGATAAAGTTGTAGGAGATCAAAATATAAGCCAGAGAAGCAGCATGAGAAGAGAAGAGATAGAAGGGAACTGATTTTTAAAACCTGTTTTTATAAAAGTTAAATTAGCTGTGAAAATCAGGTTCATAAAGCTTGTACCATCACACATAACCCCCTCATTGCAGTAGCTTATAGAAAAGCGTTTAAATCTTTTTCACGTAAAGTGCACCACGAGTCTGGCCAACATTCTAAGGCAGCCCTCCTGCCCCTGATAGTCTAGCATTCCAAGATGCTTGGGATTTACGGCATGTCCACACCTCCATGGGGTCCCGCATCATGGCAGCAGGAAAGAGAAGGCTAGAGGGATTAGCACTGGCAGTCTCATACATGGCTTCTACTTAATTTCATTGTCCAATGCAAGACGTACCTCACCTCTGGTGGGAGAGGAATTTCAACCTCCCATGTGGCTGGAAGTGGCAGAGAATTGGATGCTGGTGAATAGTAGCTTTGTTTCTTGCAGTAGCTACCAGGGGAAAACATCAATTGTCACTGAGAAAAAAATGTAATATTTCTATCAGGATTTATCCTAGCCTTTAGTTTTCTGTCTAGATTATTGAGTCCAAGGTAGCTTGAAATCAGAGATAAGGAAGAATATTGCCTTCACCTCTGTTTCCTCTCATTGCATTTATCAGTTCATTCACTGCACCTAGGTTCTGGAAAGCTTTGAGAATATAAAGATAGAAGAGTAAGCACTAGGCACACATATATTTCTTTACATCTCTTTATTATGTGAATGAAATAGAGAATGGGTACATTTCTTTTCTTTGAGATTTGTTGGGACATTTTTTAGTTATGCCAGCTTAGGACATTAGGTTTTGTATCATGATAACACAATCAAAAGGTTAAGAGATGCTTAAAAACAAGGAAACACAAAAAATAATCTTACTAATGTATACTTAAATATTAATATGAATTTAATTTTAGTTTCATATTTTTTTATATCTTCTGGCCTTACCTGGATATCATTTTACAAGAACTTTACAGAAAAATAATTCCTAATTTACTCATAGTAAGTTTTATTCCTGTGTTCTGCAAGAAGACATCAGCATGTCTCTTGTCTTGTACAATAAGTCACACCACTGAGCATACTTGTACACTCAATGATTTTCTATGATAGACAGCATTGCATGCCTAAGTACCCATGAGCAGGTGTTAAAACTGGAAGCATGTGAAGTATTCTTTTTTGGTGGAAATAAGAAGTTGCCAATAGCAAACTCTTCAGGTTGAATAGGGATTAGGTTTCATAGGATAATTTTCTTTTTTTTTCTAGCTCTAAGTCTCACATCAAAATAGTGAAATAGACAAGTGTTTGATTGAACCTCACCAGTTTCAGGCTTTCCAGAAACTCTTTCTGATTATTTTTTCTTCTTTACACCTCTATTCTTAATTAGCAGCCTCTATCTTTAAATTTTAAGATATTATATTTCTTGATTTCCTGGTACCTTATATCACCAACTTGCAATGTCTAGCTGCTTTGGATTTAGATTTGTAGAGGGGTGTAATGTATTCTTGTGAATGAACTGATCCCCACACTCCCTGCCTAATACATAGCTCTGTACAATGTTTGCTTGCCCTTGGCTCCCAGATTCACATTATTTATAATTATAAACCTAATAAAAGTAATTATCTCCCTATATACTTACTATATCTTATTTATCTAAATTGTGTTCAATGTGAATTGTCATAATTCTTGAACCGTGTGGACATAGACAGATTTCGGGGGAGAAATGCGTCAGGGGAAGAAGTTCCAGGGAGGTGTGGTCAAAAAGAAGAGGAATCCTAAGACAATATGATGTTCAAAAAGAAGAACTAAAAATAAATTTTGAGTAGGTAATATCATTATTCAAAACAGCTGAATGTGTGAAAATATAGGCATCTTTTAATAAAACAGCAATTTTTATCCAAATGGTCTCAATTTTCCTTCATCTGGGGATACACTGCTTATAAATCTTGCATGTTTACTATCCCCAGGGCAAATCCAAATCAGTTTTTTTGGGTAAGATTCTTAGATGTTTAATATGAGTTTTAAATTTTTACTTTTGTTATGACATTTAATATATATTTGCATATTATTATTGCTTGTTAACATTCTACATATTAGAAAATTATTGTATATTATAAACATAAATACATGAAGTGAGCTAGTTCTATTTAAACTTATCATACTTATATGTACTTCACCTTCAATCTTGGATGAGTGTCTCCACATAATTTTCTTTTGCATGTATCTATTGTATTATTATGAAGTTTTTGATATTTTCACATCAGAATGTGCCTTTATGTGGTTCTCAGTATTGTACTCTGATTTACTAAAATCCCTATGAGTAGACATGATACAATTTTTAGCATTATCACAAGCTGATTTGAGGTGGAGAGTAACCTAGAAATTAACTTTTATTTGCCTAAACTGCTTAATTGCTGATAATTCAACCATAGCAAATTTTTAAATTTATTGATCAAATAGTCATTATACGACCAAAGGAACGTTTACTTCTCACTTTTCTATGAAATTCAGTGTTACCTAATTCCTAACATTTCCTTCTCCTCATTAACTATTTAGTAAGAATATTCACATATTCCTAGTGATTGTGATGAAATACCCTTAGGGAAAATGGATTGTTACCAAACATTGATGCACTGCAATATCTCCGGGAATAAATGACAGAAAGAAAATACTGATGTCCTCTGTCAAAGTCATGGGACAGTTTTGCTGATCGAAAAACTACAGGAGTGACAGCCCCATTTGTACTTCTGAAAATGTTCTCCAGTTCCTTAGAGGAAGATTGGCCACTGACTGAAGTCTTAGTAAATAAACCACATGAGAACATTCCAGAGCAAATGGCACCCATTTTTCTTTCTCCATTTTGCTTTGTTTTTCACACTTCAGGGACCTGACAACTGTACAAAGTGCTCCCACTTCAAGGATGGCCCAAACTGTGTGGAAAAATGTCCAGACGGCCTACAAGGAGCAAACAGTTTCATTTTCAAGTATGCTGATAAGGATCGGGAGTGTCATCCGTGCCACCCAAACTGCACCCAAGGGTAAGCATCCTTGCCGGCCAAGACGACAGTATTGTATGTATTGCCAATCTAAAGGTACACACGTGTGTCTTTATCCCTGACACAATCTACTAAACATATAATATTCTTATACAAACTCTATTCATCTTTATATTAATATGTTGATTTTAAGAGAAATCCTTTCTAAGAGAATGGTTTTTGGAATCAAATTTATACGCTCAAATATTTCTGTTTAACACTTACCTATAACTGTTCTATTGACACCTTCATGAAGCTGGTGTCAGGTGTACTTTGTATGGAGTGTAGAAATTCTTCCTCATTTTACTGGAGATGGAAGATATCAGAAAAGACAAGACAGGAGTCATACATCTGAGATTTGTCCTTAATAAATCTTTAACAGAGGTTTTCTGTTTCTGTTCCTTTGTTGTTATAACCAGCTTAAAGTGAGGATACCTCTCTTTGATAAATAGATAGGATTACTCCTTCCACAAAATATAAGCAAAAGTAGTGACAGCAACAACAGTAAAGGGAATCTAGCAATATATATATATTAATAAAATTACCAGTACATTTTGTGAAAGTAATTTTATTACAGGTTAACTTATAATTCTGACTTTCTTTGACCGATATAGGATAATTCAAAGATGGGTACACATTTTGTATTTTTCAAAAGGATGCATTGTAAAATGAATAATAATTAGATTACCTTTGATAATGATAACAGTTGAATAACAAAGACATTACAGAAAGAAGAAAAGCACTGAACTATAAAAGAAATAATGTCACTCATCTAACAAATCCCAACAACTATTTCTTTAAAAGACAGCAAATCTATTTTAGTAAGGATTTTTTTTCTTTCCTTCACAAGGTGAATAATTTTAGAATTGAGAGCAGTTTCACATACTCTGTCCTCCTTCCGTCCATAACACCTTTTTGCCATTGTCAATGCCCACACACCTGTGCACACACATGTACAAACACACACCCTTGTTGTGGAGAGTCATCTCAGGTACTTGGAATCTGACAGGAAAGTATGAGATTCTGTAAAGAGATTTTCTGCCACATTAAGGGCTTGCTGTTAGGGGATATTGAAGAAGTTAAGGAAGCAACATCATTTTCTGCCAGAGGACATCAATTTGCAGACGCTGACACAATTTCCTGCAGGTCAAGAAATCAGCTTAAGTTATTCTGTGAAGTGGCAGATCCTCAAAAGGTAAAGTAATATTCTGCCATTCAAATTCAAATTCAGCTTGGAAGAACGAATGCCTGCTCATTGGTTTACACTTGAGCACATAGGTCGAGGATGCTGAAATAGTCCCTTAGATGCTTTGCTTCAAGGAAACTAGAAGGAATAAACTGCTCCCCTCATGAGTCTTTGGCACCCTTGGGTTAAGAGTGTGTCATATAGAAACAACTGGTACCACTGGAGAAGAAGAGTCAACGACAGAAAGACAAGACTTTGCCTGCTAACATAATCATCCACAAGAGGGTTTTATTGTTTTGCAGCTAAAATTAAACCAGTAAATTATTCAATATAATGTTGATGTCAACAGCTGTTGCCATTCAAAATGAGACCTTTTGCTGTTTTTGCAAATCTAATTACAATGAAGCCATTAGGGAAATGAAAGTGAGATCACACAGTCATCGTTGGGATGTGTGGCTGGTGTGTCTTCCTCTCAGCCCTTTATAATCATGATTGTATAATAAAAGAAAAGGTATATGGTGGGGAGAAGTAGAGGTGGGGACAATGAAGAGATCAATTAACCACAGCAACAGAAGTTGGGTGTCAACCAAAGGGAGGATGAAGGTGTAGTAGGGAACAAATCTGACCAGAGCATTTGGGCACTCCAAGTAAAGGGAAAGATGTCTTAAATTCACTGCTGCAGAATGATGGTGAGACAGACTTTGAATATCGTACTCCCTGGCCTCTTCCAAGGTGAAGAGATTCTGTAATGACTGACTTGGTCCTGAAGGATTTTTGTGTTTGTTTTTGTTTAGCTTCCCGCCCCCCTTTTTCTCATATCTTCGATGTCATCCAGGTTCATTCACTTCATGAAAGTTCTGTGGCCCTAGCCCCTCTGTACACTACTGCTGTGCAGCACTGCGCTTTGAGATCCTTTGCTGAAGAAATGAGATGCTCTGCGCTTAGTCCTTTCTTCTCAAGTTGAGTGTGGAGGATAAAATCTTTCTCTGGAGAGATCACAGGGGCAGTGGGGACAATGGGATGAAAGAATATTTTTATTCCTAAACACGTGTAATTAGTAACCTATCAGCAAGTGTGAGCTCCTCAGGCCAACTTCACTGTGGAAAACAACTTTTCTTTTATATGCCAATATTATGTCAGCTAGATAATTCAAGAACCAGGTTAATGGAAACAGTCTTTCAAATCACATTTTTCAGAAGGAAAGTTCTTACCTTGAATACCGTTTAATGATTTTATGAAAATAAAATTATCTGTGTAATACCTTAAAAGCACTTCTACTACTCTAAAAGTACATTAAACATATTGGCTGTAATAAGTTCTTTAGATACTTTTAAAATAGGGTTATCCATTTTGCACCTATCAGGAGATTCTCTTTAATATTCCTAGCGGAAAAATAAGAACAGTGTCTCTTCTTGACTTGACTAGAGGATTTTTATTTAGCAACCTTTTTGCATTTCATTCATTCTTCAGCTTTGTTATACTGAACACCTACTGTGCATCAGATATAGGGAAAGCTAAGTTCAGAAATATGCAGGACCCAGCTCTCGACCACTAGGAAGTCATAGTCCACTGAATTTTTATTCTTACAATTTATGTCCTTCCATTAGAGGCCCCTCTCCATATTTTGAAATGATGAGCATGAATTTAAAACTTAGGAATGATTTGCATATTTGAAATTAGCAAGATAGAAATTTTAAAAGACAACGTATAAACTAAATTTAGTATGTAATTAAATGGCGATAAGGGCAGGAATCAGAGTTTTCTCAGTAACAGCACTTGAGTCCATTATAAATGTCAATTTAATTTCGATTTTTAGATGTGGACCGGGATATTTATTTTTCATGTCATATTTTAAAAATTTCATTAAGTGTTTTTCTTAGTATTAGAATCGTGATTTCATTTTATTAAATTTCCCATATACCTTAATCCTTTTTAACGAATCCTTTTTATATTTTTAAATTTATATAGTGAAAGAATTGCCATTGATGGAGGGAAGGAAAGAAGAGCTGCTTGTGAAATTATTGTCTATCCTGTTTTAATTGAAATTTTTAAATATTCCCCTATTTTCGTTTCAAAATTTGGAGGAGATTTTACCAAAATATCTCCACTATGTTAGTTCTATGGGTACATCAAGGTGCTTATAAATCAGTAAGTACTGGCAAATGTTACACACAGCTCAATATTCGGAATTTTAGATATTTTTGTAATATGATATGTTGACATGTTGTAGTTTCTTTTTCTGATCTTTCTGTAAAATTGCTACTTCAAAACACTAATTTTGTAGAGAGTTGTGTTATTCCACATCTTTATTCAGTCTTTGATTTGGGATTTTGACCCCTGATTTGGTTTCCACGATGCTGCGATTAATTGATTTTACTCAATTATATTTTCCCATGCCTCTGGAATATGAGCTCATCTAATGCCATTTACTAGTTGGTTATTGGAGTTCCTTGGGTTTCAGTCTCAGTCTCTGTTCTTCTCACGTTATAGATCCTTCTTCACCCATCTCATCCACTTACGTGATTTCAACTTTCTCCCGTATGCTCTTTCAAAGCTGAGCATCATACTTGTGCCTTCTTTCCCCCAGCCACGGACTCATCTTTCCAGCTGCTCAGGAACATTTTTTCCTAGATGTAGGACCACCACACTAAACTCCAGATACATAAAACCGAAATTATCAACCTCTCTTCCCCCGACACACACACACAAGGAAAGATTCCTCCTCTTGCATTTTCTCACTGATGGTACCACTATTCTCAAAGTTAGAAATGTGTCATCTTTAACTCCTCTGATCTTTCTACTTCTGCCATCAAATCAGCCATCAATTTCCCCTTTTTTTTTCTGTACCTTTCAAGGTATTTCTTGAATTCTCCCTTTGCCTCTATCCTAGTTACCATTCCCCTAGTGTAATCCTTCATTAACTCTTACATACACTAAAGCAATCTCTGTGCTAAAGGAACCTACTTAGTTCCCAGCTGACTAGCCCTCACGGGGCAAAGAGATCTATGTAAAACACAAATTTAGCAATTTCACTACTTCTTTAAAACCCTGCAGTGGTTTTCCATTAAGTTTGTTTCTAAGCAAATAGGCTTCATAAACGAGCTCCTATCTAATGATCTGGCTCCTTCTTTTCCCTCTCCTTGTTGTCTCATATGTTGCTCTCTGACTGTCCAGAATTACTTGTAGTTGTTCATATACACTCTATATTCCCTCAGATCTATTCTTTTGCTCCTGCTGCTTCCTACCCCTTAGAAGTCACTCCAACCCCAGTTCTCTGCACCCTGAACTTCAGCTCCTAACTTCTCCACGAGGGTTACCATGACCTCTGGGATGAGCATCCCTCCCCCACACTCTCCTAAACCACTCTTTCATGTCCCTAATTATATTTATCACATAATACAGTACACATCTGTTTATGCCTCCGTCTCCTTCATTAAATTGTGAGCTCAATAAGAATAGGAAAAATGTCTAATTCATCTTTATTTTCTCTCCAGCTCTTAGAACAGTAGGAATACTTAGTAGGCATGCAACACATTTTTTTTAATGGATGAATGAAGATCTTTCATTAGCCACACTTTCCACTTAAGTTGAATTTTATTTTAAATATTTTTAACTTTCAAAGATTATTATAAAGACGCAGACAACAAACCAACCACAGATTTCAGATTCTCACTTGGAAATGAGAAGTAGACTATTAATTTTACAAAAAATGGCAATACTGTATAAAAAAGGCATTTTGAAGAAGATATAATAGGAACCTAAAAAAAAGTTCTTCGGAATAGAATAAAAAGAAAACCATATAAGACAATTTGGAAACTTTTTTAGTAGTTAATTTTTCATTTTTGGAAATAGTTTTGATTATGGATTATGGAACTAATTCAATGCTATGTGCTATATATTTTTTATTTTTATTGTTTATTTGCTTTTTTTAAAGACTTTTTTCACAGTGTATTTTCTATATTTCTGTATGTTAACATTTTTCTGGACTGCTCAAAACCAATCCTCAAAACAAAAACAATTTTCCATCTAGCGGAAATGTTATAACAGATATTGATGAAACAGGGAAATGCTGACTTTTATTATTAAACATAGTTATATTAGTTCACCAATGTTGAGAGTTATCTAAAGATATAATGGACACTCTGGCTTTATTCATGAGCAGTTTATTACTTCATCATATAGAGATTTTAACTTTGGCTTCTTTTTCAGTTTTAGAAATTAGTTTGGAAAAATAAATTTATTACCAGCAGATTTAGACAGTTCTATGAGTCTTAGCTGTGGAAGGAATTTTGGTAATACACTGGAGCTATATGTCCTTGACGGGAGAAAAGGGAAAGAAATACAATTCCAGTACCTTGGAAGATGGAAGAAATAATCTTTCTATAATACTTCAAAACAAAATTCTAGGGACTGTATAATAGAATTCTGCATACTTATATAATTTCACTTAAATGTTAATCTCAGTAGGTTCTTTAGTTATGTAGGTCTCAATTTATTCATTTCCTTGGAGAGTATTTATTTATTTGTGATTATTTGAGTTAAATATGGCAGTTGAAAATCCTGTTTTTGTTTGCCTGTTATGGCACTGCCCTTTTAAAAAAGAGTGCCGGGATAAAGCACAGTATGGTGAAACCAGTTAATTTGTCTTTTAAATGAATTCATGTTTAAAGATAAGTATGTTTTAAAGACAGTCACAACCAAGGAATGGAATGATGTGCTTATGTAAAGTATCCATGAGAATAGCATTAAAGCATGTTAACTCATTTTCTGTCAAATCAATCTTTAATGAGAATTAAGCATCAGGTTATTATATTATATTGAATAGCTCATGTTTCCTTTTTTATTGATTTTGTTTTTTACTTAAGGCCTTTTAGAAGAAAGCATATACATGAAAGCAATTACAGCCATTGAAATATCAAGTTATTCATCTAGACATATAATCATGAATGATGCAAATGAATTGAAAGCATTAGGAATGAGCTATATGTGTTTGGAATTTATCCACAGAAACAGAATAAAATTTCCTTTACTGTGAACACGTTTCTTTGCATCGCACTTGGGTGGTATTTGCAATTCATTTCCATGTATCCATCAAGCAATAATCTCACTGGCTTTAAATTCATGGTGTTCCAATATTGTCTAATAACTATAATTAAGAATTTGACACAATCCGTATTTATCTTATTGTCTTTTGAAAAATGACTAATTTTTCTTCCCTTGTATTTGTTAAATTTGGATCTTCTGCAGGTGCATAGGCTCAAGTATTGAAGACTGCATCGGCCTGATGGATAGGTACTTGGTGTGCTTGCTTCCTATGTTCTTCCTCCGAGGCTCCACGTGTGAGCACTGGTGCATGTGTGTGCATGCCACTGTGAATGGAGAATGATGTTTTCTGTTCTGTAATTGCCTGCAGGTGTAGCGGCCCCACTAGTCATGACTGCATTTACTACCCCTGGACGGGCCATTCCACTTTACCACAACACGCTAGGTAACATCTACCATGTTTCCATTTTGTCACTCAAATCCTTCCCCAATTATCATGGATAAAAAGTACTAACCAGTGGATGAAATTTATGATATGTTAAATTAGGGAGTTATGAAAGAGGCATATAACACTACCTTTCAAGCCACGTTTCCTACCTCTTCTTTCTTCATTTCTTATGATTTTACAATCCAAATTAGTAATGTCATTGATTTTTAATTTTGTACAGTTTAAACAGGATTTTGAATTATTAATCTAGAACTTTAATAGAATATTTTTGTTCTTAGTTCTTTAGATGATTGCAAAAAGATATATTTTTAAGAGAAGAATTTGGAAAGGTTGATCTATTTTTGTAAGATGTTTGCTATTTAATTTGGTTCAATTTCTGATTTTATATTATTTTGAACTGGTTGGAATATTCTCTAGGCATCAGAATTACCATAGACTAAAGGTAATATAGAAAATATTTTGTGCAAGTAAAAGTACGAGTTGGTTTTAAAAAATAAAATATATCACTCATGTATATACAAAGACCTATACATGAATGTTTGTAGTGGTTTTATTCAAAATCACCAAAAACTGGAAACTACTCAAATGTTCTTCAATTGTGGTATATCCATACATTCATACTACTCAGCAATAGACAGGAACAAATTGCTGACATGTACAAAACATAGATGGATCTCAGATGCATTTTGCTAAATGAAAGAAGCTAGACTTAAAAGAATACATGCTGTATGATTCCATTTATATGGAATTCTGGAAAAAGCAAAACTGTAGGAGCAGAAAATCCATCGGGATTGCCAGGGGTGGGGGTGTGGAGTGAGATTGCCTGCAAAAGGGCATGAGGAAATTTGGAGAGTAATGGAACTGTTCTATATAGTGATAGTGGTGATAGTTGCATGAATGTATGTGCTTGTCAAAAATCATAGTTCACTACATTAAAAAGGATGAATTTTACTATTCATAAATTATACCTCAATAAATTTGACTTTTAAAATATCTCATATTTAGGAAAATAGTAACTTGACAATGTTATATATAAATATTGTTATGTTTCTTTATGATACAAATCAATTGTATATTTTGGAAGAGAGAAAGTAGTGCTAAATTACAATTAGCAAAATTCAGGTTTTGGATGCCTTTTATTGTAAACTTTTGTATTGAAATAGAATATTTATAGTGTAAAAAAGTGTAGAATATGTATAGTGTACAGTTACAAAACGTAACTGTACAACTCGGTGAATTTCTCCAAATGAAACATTTGTGTAACTATCAACCAGTCAAGAAACAGAATAGTCCTAGAACCAGAAACCCCCTTATGCCCCATTCCAAGGATAACCACTGTCCTGAAAGCTAACATCGTAGGTCAATTTGCCTGTTTATTTACTTTATATAAATTGACTCATATAATATGAACTCCACATCTGGCTTCTTTTGCTAAATATGATATTTATGAGATTCATCTGTCATTAAATTTAGTCATTGTTTTTTTCATCTATATGGCATTTTGTCTTTAAATGTTTTTAAAACAATCAAGTAAGTGATATGTCTTATTAATAAGTTATTTTTTAATGTAGTAAATAGAGAAATTCTTAAAAGAAAGGGTGTGGTGGAGTTATGTAACTTATACAACAGTGGCACTTTGGCACTTGGGCACAATCAAGACCAGTTATTACAATTGTTTAGAGCAAGGTCAAAATTATGAAAAAAAATCAGCCAGAGAGGAAGAGAAGGCATGCCTAGGGCTCAAAGTGCAGTTTTATAAGCCAAGGTCCATTTTAGATTGTTTTATGTTCATTAAATAATTTTTCCTCCTTGAGACTTTGGCTGAGTCACTGCACTTTGAAGAGTGTTTATACATTTATTTCAATGATTTTCTTATAATTATTCCAGCCAACTAGTGAGAGGCAATATAGTATGGTGGTAAAGTGTGCTGTCTTTGGAATCAGATTTTCTGAGTTCAAAGAAAGGCTCTCCCATTTTTTAGATGTGTGACCTTGGGTAAGTTTCTTGAATTATCTGAGCTTTGCTTTCTGCATATATAAAATAGGAATATTAGTATAGTTCATATATTGGTGGCGAAGACTGAATGAGTCCATAGAACAGTGCCTGGCTCAGATAAATCACTCAATACATGTTGTTATTTATTAATTCTCCCTATATCAAGGATTGTAAACATTGAGGATGGGGGAGCATACCTCTGAGGGGGAGGAGGGAAGTCTCTCAGTCACTCAAGGAGATTTGATGTGTACTTCTACCCCTTCTGATGGGTCCCTTGAAGGGAGAGGAGGGCATTTCTTTCTTCACCTTGAGAATCGCTGTCATAATGAGGGTCACTGGAACTGACGGCAGGAGGTCATAGGCAGAGGTGTATGCAGAGACACAGCAAGGGTTAAAACCACAATGATAGATCAATTGTGGCTGTCCATGCTAGTAATTGAGTTTATATAACTCATAGTCATACTGTATCTTACTATAGATTTAACATTTCCAACATTTAAACAAAAGCAGTTTCGGAATTTTCAATCCTAATACTTGCCTGGGTTCCCAGACCATTCCCTGTAGTCTCAGAGTAATGCACCTAATTCAGATTAACTTTGTCGTAAATAGGTAACTATGTCTAGTAACAGAGTATGGATAGTACAGTTTGGCCCATTTTTCCTATGAAAAATCACCTGTGGGTCTCTATACAGGTAAAGAGCAGAGGTTCTTGAGTGTGAAAGTGTGGGTTCAAGTATTGGCTCCACCATATTTCTTATCTGTAAAATGGGGATGATAATGGTAATTTTTAAAATGAGATTTCTTATACCTCATAAGATTGATGTCGGATTACATGGGATAGCACCTGGGAGCCATTACCTAGTATACATTCACTTCTGGTGGTTACATATCTAGTCGAGATATTGGCAAAATAATCTTTTTGAAAATTTCATGAGATTGTGTTCTATTAGTATTTTATATATCAGTACAGCATTAATCCAAAAGTTTAGTGACCACGGAATTGACATATCAAAATTTCTCATGTTTTAAGCATTTAAATTTGTCACACTTCTAAGTATAATGATTTCAAAGAGTAGGTAGTAGGTTGCTAATTGTTCCTTTTAGAAAACTGTGGATATCTTTAATTAATACCTGTTTGGAATTTAAATTTAAAACATTGTGACTCTATTCTTCAACTGTATTGACTTAGATTAGACTCATCAGAGGCTGTTTATAAGGCAGTTAAGAATTTACATGAAAGATTTAGCTTGGATGTTTTGGAAAAGCATTTATGACCATGGAACATTTGACACAGCTTGGATGGAAAGTGAAAGGAACAAGTATCTCCTTTTTCAAGTTCTTAATATTGCAGTAAATGCTTAACTTTCTGAAATGGGGTGGGTATACATTTAATTGAAAACAGGAGACTAGTCTAGTAATATCACAGGTCACTTTCCATTTTTAAATTCCCTGATAGTTTTTCTTAAACTTCTGTCTTAATTGATTAAAGTAAATCTGACATAATAGGAGGACAAAATACATGATAGAAAACAATTTTTTTAAGTTTTGTAAACCATGTTTTAATTTGGAGATTATCTAAATGCCTAGTTTTCTTTTACTCTCAGAAAATTGCATTGAACGTGTCAGTGTGGCTATTTTGAAATATTTAGAGTTCATACTCCCTACTGCCCCATTATGCTGTATTCTGTTTCCTAAACCAGCAGGAAAAAAGATTGAAGATTTAAATGAAAACAGGTGAAATATTTCCAATCTTGATCAACTTGCATTTTCTAAGCACCGTTACTCTTTCCCAAGCCTGCAATTTGTGAATTGCTTTTCCACACTCCGTTTACCTTACAGGCTGCTGCTGGAATTTCTTCTAGGAAGATTGGATAGGATAGAATAGAATTTTTTTTTTTACCTGTAGTCTCCTAGACTATGCTACTTATAATGAAAATAATACTTGATATTTTAGAACTTCTCCATCCTTTCCTTATCTGAATTAAATGCCTTAAAAATAGCATTTATCTTTGATGTTCTTTTCCATCAAGAATCTTATTAAGAAATGTATTCAGCAAGTTTTTTTTATTATTCTTGTATTCTATTTATTTGAGCTTGCGCCTCTGCTATTTTCGTATAGATTCTGATAGAGCAAAGTATTAGATTCTATTCTATTTTAGTTTCTTTGTCAAATATCTATCCAAAGCTTTTTATAATTTTAGTCTCTTACTCCATTAGAGCCTAAATTTGCTAATCTTAACAGGCCAAGGCTCTATTGGCAAAGCATTTCTTTTTGTTAGTTAGCAATCCAAAATGTAAACTAATAATTTTTTTTGAATTTGTGACAGAAATTATGAAAACTACTAGATATCTGTTCAAGCATTTTTATCTGACTATTTGCTCCAATTCAATTATTCTAGATGCTCCACAATATGAAATAAGGTAACTGATTTCAGTTTACCTCTCTAAATCTCATACGGGCAGATATTTGAAACGTTTCATATTCCTGTCGCATTTTAATGCGTGTCGCATTTTACTTTACGGTATAATGGTTATTACCTAAGAGGTCACATAACAGTTTATCCTTTCGCATGTGACCATGTGTGATATATGAGAGTGACAATGTGATATTCTTGGCACCACTTTCACAAATGGCACAATCTTTTTTCTTTGTTTGTTTTGCCCCCAAGGAACTTAGTTCATAACTTATGTCCAAAGCAAATGGTCAAAATCGCCCAAAGATGGTTACCTTAGATGAGTGGCAGTGTGTTACGATCCTGAAGTCCAATAAATAAAAGAACACAGGCTTTTTATTATAAGTCTGTCCTCAGTCCACCACGTTCTATAGATTGAATTTACTTTTAAATTAAAGAGAACTCTAAGAGGTGAAGGAGAGTTTGTGTGTCTTCTTTTCCGGTTGATTTGTCTCCCATACTTCCCAGGACTCATAAAATAGCAAAATCATCAAAGAATTCTAAGGCGAGAGCAAAACAGCTCAGCCCAATTGTTAATTACTGTTCATATGGTTCCAGTGGTTACTTTAAACAAACGTATTTAGTGGACAAAGCTGCATCAGTGGCTTTCGTAAGGATATCAAAATGTCCACACATCGTTACCAAAGAATTTGGACATCCTAGAAACACTAATATTATACTCAAACCTGCTGACTGTAAAAAT